AAAAAAAAAAGGAAAAGAAGAGGAAAAGAAAAAAAAAATCCACACAAAAAACGACCCCTTTACTCCACCTGGAGGCAGAGGCAGGTCCTTTGGCACGATGTGTGGGTAGGGGTCGAGTCACCTGGCAGAGGGGCTAGGTAAGTCGTCTCGGATCACAACTATACAAAAGAATTTAAAAGAAAGAAAAAAAAAATTATGGCCCCTTACTCCGCCTAGTGGCAAAGGCCGGCCCTTTAGCAAGGAGTGTTGGGGCGGAGGTCGAATTGCTGGGCAGAGGGGGACTTATGTGTCCCAGATCACAGTTCTATAAGCAGTCTCCCTCAGTTCACTCTCAGTTCCCCGTCATTTTGCGGACAGCGCCAGTGACTGAGTGGAACAGGGCCACCGGAGACCGCCTGGAAACTCAGCAGCAATATCGCTCTTTCTCTCTTTTCTGCTCTTTCGGAGGCGGGGCTTGAGTCTGCGGCTGCGACAGACTCCGCAGATTCGGGAGAAAAAGTGGCTGCGCGCGCTACTCTCCTCGCAGGGCGCGACCAGCTCTGCCGCAGAGGCAGCGGCTATGACTCAGGCGGACGCCCGGGCAACAAGTCGCCTCAGTCGCAGGCTTTGGGGTCCCCGAATTGCAGCTGCCCACCCCCCGCTAGTCAGCGCTGAAGCCGACTGCACCCGGAGGGCATCCAGAGCCAGGGTCCGCCGTTGCCTATTCCCAGAGCTGTGTCCCAGGGCCGCCTGCCGGCCCGCCGCGCACCCTACCCATGGCGACTCTGGACCGATCCGCGGGAGGACTCTGTGCTGTGTCCCTCCCAGCACCCGCGGAACTTTCAGCGATTTCCACGGGCAGAGCCTCTTCCATGGAGTTTCCTTCCCCCGATCTAGTCCTGGCGATCTCCTGTGGCAAGAAGCGGCCTCCAAACTCTCCCCTGTGGGCTCAGACGGCCTCTGATCTGGGGAGTGCGCGCTTGGGCCGGTCCCTCCCCTCTGATGCCGACCCAGCGCCGAGCTCCGGCGTGTTCGAAATGGACCCCGCTCCTGTCTCGGCTCCCCACCGCTTGTCTGTCTGTGCTACCACTTCGCACTGACCTCTGGCACTTCCCTGCCTGCATGGGAGTGGGGTTTGGTGAAGGAAGAGTCATCTTCCTGTGAGTCAGATCGCACCGCCCGGGCGAGGCCGCCGCGCGGCCATCCCGCGCTGCCTTTCCCCTTTGTCCCAACTCTCTGGTAATTTGCGAGTGCTTTTTGAGTTCACCTGATTTTATCCGCGGGACGGCTTGTCCCTCGCTGCTTCTCTGTAGATTCACAAAGCTAATCCTGTAGGGGAGCACGTCACTCGCGTGTGGGTGTCCGTGTTCTTCACCTACCACTCTGGGAGCAGAGAGCCAGGAGGTCACCCCTAATCCGCCATCTTCCTGACCCCCAATTTTAACTTTGATACTTCTTTAGTGATAAAAAGCAGTACATGCTTTAGAATGTTTGTACAGAAAGCTTTTTAAATACTGCACATCTACCACTTTTAAAAAAGAAATTTATTTCTGGGATCAGAGGCATTTTTAAAGAACCTGTCTCATTGTGGTTATTTAGGAAGTTAATATGATTTCATAGTACATGAGATGATGTACTATGTTTTTTCTGGATAAAAGGTGAGATTAAAGTACATGAACTGTAGTAGAGCTATTTGCTAATCTACTCAGTCCTAAATATTGCTTTACTGTGGTGTTGCAAGGTATCAATAAGTGAGTTAGGGAAATCCTAATGAGTACTATATTAATTTTTGTAAATTTAAATTACTTCAGTAAAATGTAGGTATTATAATATATTAATTATAAAATAGTTGGTGAATTTGATATTGAGAAGTCTTCATTGAAGATACAGAAACCTCTTTGAATAATAATTCTAAATAGTTTTTAATGCCATAAAATGGATCTTTTTTCCTTGATAGTGTTTAACTGTTCTAAGCTCTGGGAAGCCCAACATAAAGTATAAATGTGAATAGTGGCTCATTTGATCATGTAAATATTTATTTATATAATCCTGCCTTTGAAATTTAACTTACCCCAGCTCATGTCTTGTCATTTCATTTACTAAGTTATGTTCTTCTTTTTAGAACGGGACCTGTTTGGAGCAGAACCTTTTGATCCATTTAACTGTGGAGCAGGAGATTTCCCTCCAGATATTCAATCAAAATTAGATGAGATGCAGGTGACTGTTTTAACAGATTGGCCCATAAATGGTTTATTTACTTTTAATCTGAGAAAAAGACTGTTATATACAAAACTACCCTTTCCTTGAATTAATGTCACTATAAAAACTTACTTAAAAGAATTACTTTAAAATAATAATGCACATTTAGTACAAAAAATACTACATACACTAAAAATAGGTTTTTTGTGTGTGTGTGGTTCAATTTACAACAACAATAAGATGGTTCATTTTTTTAAAAAAAAATGACATGAATTCCAATTGTTCATTGTTTTGAAATTCAGTCTTAAAAGGTCAGCACACTAGATTTACAAGATTTTATCTCAGTCTTAATAATTATGAATTTCAAAATTGTAAATGGGTAGATGAGGGAAAATCTTTGTAAGAGTAAAATCATTCTCTCTGAAAAGAAGCATTGTAGCTGTAGTTCATAACTTCTGGGCTTTTATTGAAAAAGCAGACACCCAGTGACAACTTCCTTAGGAATGTAGTCCATTGGGTTTTCATTTCTCTCTCTCCCTTTTACTTTTGAATTTTAACTTGGTCTGGAAGTTTGAGAAATTGGTTTTAAAATCTTCATACAATGGACCATGATTTAAAAATATTCTTATAACCACTAGAACAAAGTCTTCTCTTCATATTTTCCCTTCACATTTTGGTTAAGCTATTATATCCTATTTTTCACCAAAAAGTTTACATATGGTAGAATCCAGACAGACACCAGTTGAAGCTGATTGAGAAGAAACAATGAAGACACTAACATAAAGTGAAGGA